CCATCTTAGCATGTTGCTTTCAGTTTTTCTTTTGGTAACAGATTCATCAAGATACAATTCATATGCCATACAATTTACCTATTTAAAGAGTACAGTTTAATAGCTTTTACTGTATTCATAGTAGGGCAACTACAATCAATTTTAGAATATTTTCATTACCACAAATAGAAACCCTGTATTCTTTAACAGTTAGCCACTTCCACCCCTTCCCCTGTCCTTCCTCACCTCTACCAGCCCCACCAGCTGTAGGCAACCACTATTCTACTTTCTGTCTCTATAGATTTGCCTATTTTAGAATCATATAACATGTAGTCTTTTGTGTCTAGCGTCTTTCACTTAGCATAACGTTTTCAAGGTTTATCCACGTTGTGGCATGTCTCACTACTTCATTCCTTTTTGTTGCTGAATAATAGTTCATTATATAGACATATCACATTTGGCTTTTGGCTATTATGAGTAATGCTGCTATGAACATTCATGTACAAGTTTTTGTATGAGTGTATATTTTCATTTCTATTGAGTGTATATCTAGTAATGGGATTGCTGGGGTGTATGGAAACTGTTTGACTTTTAGAGGAACTGCCAATCTGTTTTCCAAGGCAGTGGCACCATTTTACATTTCCATCAGCAGTGATGAAGATTCCAATTTCTGCACATCCTCTCTAACACTTGTTATTATTTGCATTTTTTATATAGCCACTGTAGTGGGCATTAGATGGTATCTCATTGTAGTTTTTTTTTTTTTTTTTTTTTTTTGAGACAGAGTCTCGCTTTGTTGCCCAGGCTAGAGTGAGTGCCGTGGCGTCCTAGCTCACAGCAACCTCAAACTCCTGGGCTCGAGTGATCCTTCTGCCTCAGCCTCCCGGGTAGCTGGGACTACAGGCATGTGCCACCATGCCCGGCTAATTTTTTATATATATATCAGTTGGCCAATTAATTTCTTTCTATTTATAGTAGAGACGGGGTCTCGCTCTTGCTCAGGCTGGTTTTGAACTCCTGACCTTGAGCAATCCGCCCGCCTCGGCCTCCCAAGAGCTAGGATTACAGGCGTGAGCCACAGCGCCCGGCCTCTCATTGTAGTTTTGAATTTCTCTGATGATTAATGATATCTAACAACTTTTCATGAGCTTATTGTCCATTTCTATATCTTATTTGGAGAAATATCTATTCAGATCTCTTGTTCATTTTCACTTGGGTTATTTTACATTTATTATTGAGTTGTAAGAGTTTCTCATATATTCTAGATACAAGCCCATTATCAGACAGATGATTTGCAAAATTTTTATCTCATTCTATGGATTGGCTTTTCACTTTCCTAGTGGTGTTCTTTGAAGCACAAATGTTTTAAATTTTGATGTCTGATTTATTGTTTTTTTTCTTTTATCATTTGTGCTTTTGGTGTCGTATCTAAGAAACCATTGCCTTATTTGAAGTCATGAAGGTTTACCCCTATGTTTTCTTCTAAGTACTTTATTTTATTTATTTCTTTATTTCTTTATTTTGAGACAGAGTCTTGCTTTGTTGCCCAGGCTAGAGGGAGTGTCGTGGCGTCAGCCTAGCTCACAGCAACCTCAATCTCCTGGGCTCAAGCAATCCTACTGCCTCAGCCTCCCAAGTAGCTGGGATTACAGGCATGCGCCACCATGCCCGGCTAATTTTTTCTATATATATTAGTTGGCCAATTAATTTCTTTCTATTTATAGTAGAGACAGGGTCTCGCTCTTGCTCAGGCTGGTTTCAAACTCCTGACCTCGAGCAATCCACCCACCTCGGCCTCCCAGAGTGCTAGGATTACAGGCGTGAGCCACCGCACCTGGCCTCTTCTAAGTATTCTATATTTAGCTCTAATATTTAGGTCTTTGATCTATTTCAAGTTAATTTTTGTATACCATGTGAACTAGGGGGCCCACCTCATTGTTTTACATGTGAATATCCAATTGTCCTAGCACCATTTGTTGAAAAGACTATTCTTTTCCAGTTGAATGGTCTTGGCACCCTTGTAAAAAATCAATTGACCATAAATGTGAGGGTTTATTTCTGGACTTTCAGTTCTATTCTCTTGATCTATATAGCTATCTTTATGCTGTACCATACTGTCTTTTTTGCTGGTTCATATTCTTCCCCTCAACCTCTTAACCATCTCCCACCTCTGAACTCCAAACCCATGTATCCATTTACCTGCCTGATAACCCCACTTAGATGTCCAATAGGTAGCTCAAACTTAACATGTTCAAACCTTAACCTCTAATCTTAAATATTTTGTGGGAAAAAAGAAGACAAATAAGCTAACATTTGCTGAATATTTACTATTAGCACTATGCATTATCTCATAACATATTTCAATGTTATGATCCTTTGGGGACATTGTATGCTTGTCCACACTAGAGAGTTCTGGGGCAGAGGCCTGAACTCAGGTCAGTTTGATTCCAGAGCCTGAGCTCCTTCTTAACAGCCATGTTATACTTTTCGACAAATGATGAAGTATGTAGTTCTACTTTTCTATCCTCAAGACTGTTCTTTGCAATGGTATGATAGCTCAGGAGAAAGGATCCCATAGGATCCCTGGTGAATGGAATAGGAGTACTTGTGAGCCATGCAGTGCTTTAGAGCTGCCTCTTTCCTTTTCCACGTAGAGTGGATACATAGAGATAGCTCCAGTGTGCAGACAGGCTTCCCCATCCCAAGGGAAAACCCACCCTGTGTTTTTGGCAAGTTTCTCTTGGCCAGTGTCCCAGGTTAGCGTTTCTCTGGCCCAGAGACACACTTCTCACTATCAGAACTCTCCTCACTCATTTGCTTAACTGAATTCTCCGTCTTTATTTCCTGTTCCTTCTTGTTTCATTCCCATTTGTTCAAGAATTGTCAGCCTCCCTGGAATTGTGCAAGGTATCCACTCTGACATTTGATTGTTCAGCTCCTGGCACGGAAAATTTGTTCAGCATTTCTGACCCTTTTGTGTCTATAGTTTCCTTTTTAAAATATCGGTTACCAAAAAAGTTACTGGTTACTCTTAAATAGCAGTGATAACTCCATTTTCCAAGGTAAGTTTATTCATATTAGGAATAACTCTTTGAAATAAATTTTGACCACACTAGAAAGCCTGTTCTCAGGTGGTCTCTTCAATCCCATTTTGTCCTTCTAATATGTGTCCCAAAGGTAGCTAAGACAGGTGAGAAAACTGTGGTGAATTTGTTTATCCACGTTCTCATAGCCAGTTAGGGGCAGAGCCAGTTCTAATCCTCTTTGCACTGGTTCACTCTGGTAAAGTTTGTGTGTAGGGTCTGCTGTCCACTGCAGGGTGAAGCCCCAACCCCTAGGTTTTGCCTCTTGGTGCCCAGAGGTGTCAGCCTTCCCAGAAGCCCCCTCACTATACTTTATTCCATGTATTCAACATTTCCTGAGCATCTCTCCCTGTTGGAGCTAACCAGCCTTCTGTCTTTTCTCATTCTGAGTGTGAGAATTCTCGTCCAGTGGAAAAATCACTGTATCTGGAGTAAGGGGAACTGGATTCTGTGGTTTTGGACTTCTCTTTAGCTCTCTGAGTTTCATAGACTAGATTATCTCTAAGGGCATTTGCAGCTCCAGCCTTCCCAGACTTTATGATTCTATTTCTCTGATAAATGAACCTAAACTACTGTCTTAGCAGTTATCAGTGGCTTAATGTGCTACACCAGAGCTGGTAAGTAGGTAGCTTCTCTTCTGTCTGTCAGCCATGGCAGCCTCATTAATTGGTCTCAACGTTCTCACACAGAACTCATTCACGACCTCAGACTTCTCAACCTGCTAAGTAACCACTAGCAGTGGATCACAGTTGAAATGTGTTTCCTCCTGTCACCCCTTCTACCTCTAGTGCTTTAATCTAAAGGAGGGGCCAGTGGTGATCAGACACCACAGAGGTTAAGAGCATGGGCTTTTCTGCCTGCATTCAAATCCTGTCTCTAATGCTCCCTTTCTGTGTGACACTGGGAAAGTTACTTTACTTCTCTGGACCTCAGTTTCCTCATTTGTAATATGAGGCATAACAATTAGCTCTATCTCATAGGGTTTGTAGAGAGGATTAAATGAAATAATATGTGTAAAAAAGTGCCTAGAACAGTGCCCGGCACATATAATTCAATAAATGTTAATTATTATTATCGATTTTAGGCATGTAAGAGCTTGGACGACGGATGAAGGAAAAATTCTTAGAGCGACAGGACCTTGTAGGACCCTATTAATCTCTAAAGTAGTCAAATATCAATTCCCTTTATGAATCTGGATTGATCTCACTCATTCATTTAGTCACTAAAAATTTAGGGTCTGCTGTGTGCTGTGTATGCAGCCACATGCCTTGGATACAAAAGTAAATGACACATTCTTTTCTGAGTTCATGGTGTATTGCGGTGACAAACAAGTAAAAAGGTAGTTATAATATTTCTAATAATTGCAGTGATTGGAATTTGCCCAGGGTCCTTAGGGAGCACTGTGTGTGCAGGTGGAGTCTTCCTGTTGATAGTGTTAAATGCGAGAGGGAGGAGAAGTACCTGAGTCTGGCTTCCTCTTACTACATGCAGTGGGCCCCTTGGGGAATCGTTAGTACTTGGTCTTGCTGGTGGCATATCTCAGTGGTGTCCTCGTGTTCCTCAGCATTCATTCAGTCGCTCAGTTGGCAACTCCAAGCTTTTGCCCCTGCTCCCTGAGCCACTGTCCCCCTAATTCTCAATCAGAGCTTATGGATTGGGAAGCCGAAAGGTGAGGACAAATGATGTAGCCCTGAGTTTGTGGACAGGGAGTAGTTAGATCTCTCTGCGTGCCTTAGGAAAGTGTGCACGTCAGGCATACAGGGGCTTGGGAAAGTCGAGGAATCCATCCCTCTGCCTAACTCAAGATACAGCAGGTCTCTGTGACAGCTTTGTACAGTGATATCATGAAGCCTGGGTGGGAGAAAAAAATAACTTGTGTATCATGGGGATACGTGTTCATGCTGTGACCCATCCTGTCTCCTCACTGGTGTCTTACAGTAAACAGCTGTTGTGTGACGTGATGATTGTGGCAGAAGATGTCGAGATAGAAGCCCACCGTGTGGTCCTGGCAGCCTGCAGCCCGTACTTCTGTGCGATGTTCACAGGTATGGTGAAGGGCAAACAATGACCCAGGGTCATGGGGCTGCAGCCCCACTGGGAGAATATTGAGGGTGGTGACATGAGGGGAGGGGCGAGAGAGAAGACTATGAAGCCCATTACGAGGAGCTTTCTGTGCCAGGTACTGTGCTTTGCATCATGGAAGACTTGATGGAACCAAAGTCCCAACCAGGCCAGTTGGTTGTATAGCACCTATCTATCCAGCTTGAGAAGAGGTAGGATCATATAGGCCACTAGTTCTCACACTTAAGCAAATATCATGACCATGTGGGGTGGCCTGTTAACCATGTAGACTGCTGGGCTCATCACCTGGCCTGCTGATCTCTCATTTTGCAGATGGAGGACCCTGAGCTGAGAGAAGGGAAAGGATTTGCCCAAGAACACATAGGGAACGAGTGGGACCTGGCTTCTTGACACCTGGCCCAGTACTCTACCAGCTGGCCTACATCTTGTCCTTCCCAGCCCTTCCTTTCAGGCTATGGGCCTTCTGTAGCCATTACAGGAGAGTGGAAGAGATTTGGAGAAGTGACGGTGGGGTTTGGCAGGGCTGAGACATAGGAATAATCAAAATATGGCAATCCGTTTCAGCACCTTTGCCTGCGTTCCAGAGGGTCCTTGTCTCCTGGGCATGCCCAATAGCCTTGCCCCACTGTTTCACATGTGTTACTTCTGAGTCTGAAGTCCCTGAAACCCATGGGCTGAGCGTATCTGTAGTCCCACACAGCACCTCCCTGAATCAGTCATATGCAGTATTCTACAAATCACTGCTGATAGAGACAGGAGGAGGCTATTGGGCTTGGTGAGTCCCTCACACTGAGTCAGGTGTTCCTTCCACATGCTTTCCAAGTGCCCTGTGCCTACTCTGAGTATGGTGACTGTCACTCTGCTTTCTTGTCTGTTACCTGGTGTTTGCAATACCTGTGCCCTGGCATCTCACGTAACTGGCTGCTTCTGATCCTGCAAATGTCTCCTCAAAGAGGCCTCCTCTGATCACCCTAGCAATAGTTCCATACCACGACTCTTTCCATCCTATAACTTGACTTTATTTTTTTTAAACATTTATCACTATCTGAAAATCATCTTGGTTGGTTGTTTATGTGTTTTTTACCTATCTCTGCTCACTAGAATATAAGCTCTGTGAGGGCAGGGACCTTGTTGGACTTGTTTGTTACCATATTGTAAGCACCTGGTATGTGGTAGGACTCCAGTATTTTTTAAATGAGCAAACGAAATGTCTCCTGAACTTCACTGTGAGCTTTGGGCATTTGGGGAACATGTCTTGTTATTGTTGAATCCTCAGTGCCTGCCAGAGGAGATGGTGAATAAGCGAAGATCAAAAGAATGAACATGAGCTGGCTAAGAATGGGTGAGTGCAGGCACATTTTTGTTGCTGAATGGGTTTTAACCCTTTTCCTAATATATTACTCAGCTGGGCAAAGTGGTTTTTGGCACTTGTGCTTTGAGAGTTCCTCACGTGTGTGTCCCCCTTGGCTCATCATGTGAAGGGGGGCTGGTCTCAGCTTGGAGTTGTGCCTCTGGTAAGTGGACCAAGCCACTCTGACCTCACTTTGAGCCCTGGGCCAGGAATTTCATAATGTAGCCTGGAAAACCAGCTAAGTTCACTGTCTGGAAATTTTTAGTCACACTCCCTTTAGAATTATCTCAGACACTAGTTGTAAGGTTTTTATTTCTTTTTCTTTTTTCTCTTTCCTTCATGCATCTCTGTTTCTTTTAAAATAATTCATTTTGTCTGCAACTTCAACAAATAGCTCTGCCAGTCATTCTTTGTGTGTGTGGTTTGGACAGTCCAGTGTTGAGAGAGGAATCTATTTGGAATTGCAATGAATCGTAGTATTGGCTTCACTCTTTGCTAATGAAGTTGCATCTGGGGCAGTGGAAGTACTGTAGCAAAAATAAAGTGAAATTGGGAGAAAAGGTGTTTCTGGTGCAGGTCTTAGATTCTAGTAATTGAAGGGAGGGGAGAATCAAGAGAAGGAGGCAGTCTAATGCAATGCCCAGCCCAAGCCTTCCTGGGAATTTGGTCACCATCCATCTTTCCATCCATCCTTCCATCCATCCATTCACCCATCCATACAAACACAATTCTCATATGTTCATTACAGAAAAAAAAATCAGAAAATGTGAGCACACAAAAACTAAAAAATTACATGTTATATAACATCTAGGTAAGAGGATGGTCTATATCTTTTCAGATTTTATACTTATATACATAAACAAAATGTATTTTTTAACATAAATGAGTTTATTTTATATGTGCAGTTGAATAGCCTTTTCTGATGTGTTTTTTAAAAAATTACTATTCATCTTCCTGAAACATTCTTCTTCTTAGTCTCTTTGCCTGCCTTCATTACTTCATTGCCCTTCATTACTGCTTAGGCATTACTTCCTCAGGAAGGCCTTCCATGACCCCTCTGGATTAGGTGACATTCCTTTGCTACTTTCTCCTATGGTACCTATTACTTCTCTTTAGTATTACTACTCACTCATTACTTCCTCAACATCTGATTTCTCTGGTCAATTGTAATCTTTATGAGGGTAAGAACTATACCTTTTTAATTCACTCCTGTGTTTCTACTGCCTAGCATGATCTTCCACACAGTAGGTGCTCAATAAAGATTTGTTTTTGTTTAATGGAACTTAGCCATATATCATGAATATCTTTCCATGCCAATGAAATTGCATCTACATCCTAATTTTAGTGGTTTCATAAGATTCCATCATATGTATCTTAATTGAGAATCTATTTTCTTATTTATTGGAAATTATAGTTTTTTTCTAAGATTTTGCTATTAAAAATAATGCTATAATGGGCATCTTTGCATCTTAATCTTTTTTTTTTTTTTTTTTTTGAGACAGAGTCTCCCTTGTTGCCCAGGCTAGAGTGAGTGCCATGGCGTCAGCCTAGCTCACAGCAACCTCAAACTCCTGGGCTCAAGCAATCCTGCTGCCTCAGCCTCCGAGTAGCTGGGATACAGGCATGCGCCACCATGCCGGCTAATTTTATATATATATTAGTTGGCCAATTAATTTCTTTCTATTTATAGTAGAGACGGGGTCTCGCTCTTGCTCAGGCTGGTTTCGAATTCCTGACCTCGAGCAATCCGCCCGCCTCAGCCTCCCAGAGTGCTAGGATTACAGGCGTGAGCCACCGCGCCCGGCTACATGCATCTTAATCTTTATTTACATTCCTGATTATTTCCTTAGAATAGATTCCTAGCATAAGAAATACTTGGGTAAAGGATATGCACATTTTGAAGACTTGTGAGATGTGCGCACTGCCCTAAGGAACAGTTGTACAAACCGATGCTCCTGTCAGTGGTATATGAGATTTACATATTTTTGAGGCCCCTTGGCTTTCCTTAAACCTTGGTAAACAGGCATAGAAAACTCTAGTAACATTGCAAAACTTTTTTATAATTATCAGATTTGGCTTCAAAATGCCTAAAATTCATCATGAAAAGGTCTCGCTAACTCTTGTTAAGTCCACTTTTATCAGCATGTTTATGGCCAAAAGGATAATAAAATACACACAACTTTCTTCTGATGTGAGTTGTGCTATTAGGATCTTTACTCAGGCTGAACTGTTTTTCTTTTTCAGTCCTCTGAGTTCATGTCCTGTTGTGGTTCTAAATGCCCACCCCACACTCCTTGATCACGTCCTGCCCACAATAACTTGGAATAAATGCGAAACCAAGGTCTGAGTGCCCACCAAAGAGTGTCCCAATCCAGCCAGCGTGTAAGAAGATCTGGGGTGAGCAGTCAACCTACCTGCTCTCCCTGCCTTTGAGCGGAGAGGCCAGCAGTGCTGTGTTCTGTCCTTTTTCCCAAGAGTGTGGAACTTTGAGACTTCCTCCCATCCTCTCCATCTAGCACCTCCATCCCCGGGGAAGCCATTTCCCCAAAATAGACTCATCAGTGTTTCCCTATTTATATCATGCCCTTCTTTTTGGGTTCTGTGCCCCATTGTGTTTGTACTCTGTATGGGTCCCTGACCTACATGTCATCCAGATACTTTAAAAACAACCAGCATCTTATTGTGTTAAAGGAACTGAGGTTGTGGTGGCTAAAAGACACTTGGGTTTCCATCCCAATTGAAGCTCTGGGAGTGATTTGTCCTGCTCATCTGCTTCTACTGTACTCCATGCAGTGACTGATTTAGATTGGTTTTTATTTTTTAGAGAAGAGCTACTGTCCCATTTTTATTGGATTTAGGCTGATGTTTCCCTGGTATCTTTGAACACATACATGGTGAGTAGAAGTAGGGAGAAAAGGTCAGGAATGTGCTGAGGGGGTGGGGCAAGAGGCTTAGAATTCAAGTAGAGACCAATCACCCACAAAGCAGAACAGCGAGGGCCTGGCTCTCTTACTCACCTCCTAGGCATGAACTCATTCCATAGAACCATTGTTTTGCCTTTTCTTCATGCCAGACCCTATCTGTCCCTGGTCCATGGCTCATGTCTATATTCTGAGTGTTTGCATAGTGCATTGACACCTTTGAAGAACTTTGCATGACATGGAGCCCAGCAAAACTGAATACAAGGCAATGGGGCAGTGAGGGAGGCAGAACCAGGGAAGTGAATTACTTCTTTGGACTTGAAGGAGGTTGTGAGTAGTACTGGCAGTGTATAGGGTCTGCTTTCTGAAAGTTTTGCCCCGGAGGAGTCAGTTCAGAAAAAAGAATAAAATAGATAGAATAGGTAGAATAGTTCAGAAAAAAGCACAAGGGCTGTCAGAAGCCACCTGGGATTAAGGAGTAATGAGTTAGTCACCTTTGGGCTGACATAGGGTTTCTTCTTCCTGTTCCTAACATACCACATCAAAGTCAGACATTCTTTTCTGGCTTAGGGGAACCAGATTTTGGGGTGAGGGCTGCAGTAGTCATGCATCTAGGAATAGAGACTGCTATTTATTCCCCTCTCATCCCCAACCATATCCCTATTTAAAGTGCAGCTGGTTTGACCGAGAT